TACAGCGGGAAACCTTTGATAGTGTATACCAAGGTTTGCTGTTCTCTTGAGGTATCTCATGACCCTCTCTATAGCATTCCAATGCTCTCTACTAGGACAGCTGTTAAACCTGCCAAGCAATCCCACGACATATGCAATGTCTGGTCGAGTGTAATCCGCAGCATAACGGAGACTGCCAATGATGCTAGCATATTCTGTTTGTCTTACACTGTCTCCAGTGTTCTTGAATAGCTTTACACTAGCATCATACGGAGTACACGCAGGTTTACAGTCGAAATAGTTATACTTCTTCAAGATCTTCTCTATGTAACTAGATTGATCTAGAGAATAACCATTTGCTGTTCTAGTTATCTGGATTCCAAGCATAAACTTTGCTTCTCCCAGATCTTTCACCTCAAAGCTCTCTTTTAACATGGCTTTCGCTTCATTGACCACGTGAATATTTGTACCAAATATCAACATGTCATCTACATACAAACATATGATAGTGCAAGTGCTATTCTCTGTCTTGCAGTAAATACACTTGTCACTTTCATTCACCTTAAAGCCATGTGATAGAACGAGAGTGTCAAACTTCTCATGCCACTGTTTTGGAGCCTGTTTCAAACCATATAGTGATTTGTCCAACTTACAGACTTTCGAGGCATGTTCAGGGATAACAAACCCTTCTGGTTGTTCCATATAGATTTCTTCATCTAGATCACCGTTCAAAAAAGCAGTCTTAACATCCATTTGGTGTACCACGAGATTGTTCAAGGCAGCAAGAGCAATCATGACACGAATGGATGTTATTCTAGATACTGGTGAATAGGTGTCGAAGAAATCTATATTCTCTCTCTGCCTGTAGCCCTTGACTACTAGGCGAGCTCGGAACCTTTCGATTGCACCATCAGGTTTCCGTTTCGTTTTTAGAACCCATTTATTACCTAAGACTTTGCAGCCAGGAGGTAAGTCTGTTAGATGCCAAGTCTTATTAGCCTCTAACGATTCCATTTCATCTATAACGGCCTCATTCCAAAAGTCTGCATCTATGGAAGTTAGTGCTTCCTGCAAACTTTTTGGATCCTCTAGGGTGTATACTGTAGTAAAGTCATCACCAAAATCTTTAGAGATTCTAGCTCTTTTACTTCTTCTGAGTTCATCCTCAGATCCAACACCCCCACTTGTTCCGTTATCTCTAATAGCGGGTAGTACATTACCCCCACTATTTCTCGTTTTAAATGGAAATCGTGTCTCAAAGAAATCAGCATCAATGGATTCTATTACTGTACGAGCATTCAAATCATAGAATCTATATGCCTTACTATTGGCCGCATAGCCAACGAAGACACATTCATATGCTCGACTAGCCAACTTAACCCTCTTAGGATCAGGAATTCTTACGTAGGCCAAACAGCCCCACGTTCTTAAATAGGACAGATTAGGTGGCTTATTCTTCAAGATCTCATAGGGTGATTCTTTTCTATTTGTTTTTGGAAGACGATTTAGCACATAGCAAACCGTCAACAAAATATCACCCCACCAAGAAGAAGCAGCTCCAGAATTGAGCATAATAGCCACAACTAATTCTGTAAATGTCCTATTTTTCCGCTCAGCTTTACCATTCATCTCTGGTGAATATGGTGCCGTGGTTTCATGAATGATACCATGTGAGCTATAGAATTCCTTGAAGGGATTAGAGTCATACTCTGATCCTCTATCGCTCCTAAGTCTTTTTATCTTTCGATTGCACTGATTTTCGAATTCAACCACAAATACCTTGAACATGTCAAGGGCTTCACTTTTGTTTTTCATCAAATAAACAAAGCAATAATCAGAGCAATCATCTATGAAAGTGATAAAGTATCTCTTGCCAGACCTAGTTAACGTCCCATCTAGTTCACAAATATCAGAATGAATCAGATCTAAGGGTTCTGATTCTCTACTCACAGATTTATGGGGCGTTTTCGTTATTTTAGCTTGGCTACAGAAATCACATTTATCAAATTCATTCATTGAGAGTTTAGGGATATGCCCTAGCTTGCTTAAATTCTTCACAATTCGTGTGTTCACATGACAAAGACGAGCATGCCAAACATTCAAATCACACACCATGTAAACTGAAGAATTCATCTTATTAATTTCGACATTCAATTTGAACATCCCATTACATGCATATCCCTTTCCCACAAAACTCCCATTCTTAGTAAGGGTATACAAGTCTGCCCCAATAGATTGATTAAACCCAGCCTTATTAAGAAGATATCCCGAAACAAGATTCTTCCTTATCTCTGGAGTGTGCAACACATCCTTAAGCACCATCTTCTTCCCAGAGGTGAAGTTCAGCTCCACTTCACCAGAACCAGCAACCATAGTGGTGTGAGTAGTCCCCAACAACACTTTCTTGTCAGCAGGTGCTTCTTCGTATGTTTTAAACATAGCACGATTGTTGCATACATGCTTCGATGCACCTGTATCCAGCCACCATCCTTCTGAGTCACCGGTGAGGTTAACTTCAGCAATCATATCTGTGATCATGGCTACCAAATCCTCTTCTGTCAAGTTAACCCTGGCCGCAGCGGCGGGGTTATGCTTGTTCCTGCACTTTTTTGCCATATGACCCGGTTTTCCGCAGTTAAAGCAGATAAACGGTGGGTCATTCTTAGAGGTTTGGGCCATGACCCTTTGGTTACCTCGAGAGGCACCATTCTGGTGGGGGCGGACCTGCTGGTTCTTACCCTTAAACCCTTTCTGGTTAGGTTTAAGAGCTCTAGGGGTGGGTCGTTTAGCAGTGACGACCATCACCTCTTCTTTCATATCCTGCTTGCGGGACTCTTCCTCAATCCTTAGGCGAGTAATCAAACTTTCCAGTGAAAATTCTTTGGTTTTATGTCTAAGCATATTCTTAAAATCTTTCCACGAAGGGGGCAGCTTATCAATAATGCAAGCAACTTGAAATTGATCGTCCAGAGGCATACCTTCAGAGACGATCTCGTGAGCTATTTTCTGAAGTTCGTGGGACTGAACTTCGACAGACTTGTCATCCACCATCTGATAGCGCAGGTAGCGGCTGACAGCATACTTCTTAGCTCCAGCCTCCTCCGTGTCGTACTTCTTTTGGAGCGCATCCCAGACCATCATTGCGGTGTTCTTGCTGTCCGCATAGTAGTCGTAGAGGTCGTCTGCCAGGCCGTTGAGGATGTAGCCCTTGCATAGGAAGTCATGCTCCCTTTCCTTAGCAGCAGCAGTCCTCTCCTCATCGGTCGCTTCTTCCGGCAGCTCGACGGGCATGCTAGTGAGGCAATGTGCCAACTTCTTGGTCGTCAGGTAAAACTCCATCTTTTGTTTCCAGCGACGAAAGTTGACTCCAACGAAGCGAAACGGTCGATTGATATCGACAGCACCAGATCCGGCCATGTTGTTCTGTTCAGTCGACATAGCAGCAGCCGAACGTCTTAAAATTGTTAGAAACGGAACAACAACAAGATGAGGATACCGAATCTGGAGCTGAGTCGCGGACTAGGTCGCTTTCTTTAAGACGTTCGCGGCACTGCCCTCGATACGCACGGCAGACTATCAACCGGTCGTCTCCAGGATAAAACAGCTCCTCTGTGTACTCGCGGTTTTGTGCGAAAACCGGAGCTCTCTGAACACTCTCTCTATTGTGTTTATGCTCGTTGTTGTGTGTTTAGAGGGGCTGGGGAGGCGGCTATTTATAGGAGCCGAACCCCTAGGAATATACCCTCTTGCTTGGGGAATAAGTCGGATTAATTAAGGAAGATAATTACTTCCTTAATTAAAACCGCCGGTTAGGATAAATCCTGCGGAGATTATCCTTCGATTATCCTTCGAATAGGTCCTCCCTCTCCCACAAAAGTGGGTCACCCCAAGGGGCATGCCCTTAGGAGAGAGGCTCCTATCTTTATAATCACTTCACCAAGTAAAACTACCAATGTGGTAGTTTTTCCACTTGAGACTCTATAGCTTTCAAAGCTATTCATACACATTTCCAACAGATATCATCCACATAACAAATGGATGTGGAATTTTGTTTTGGATCTTGTAACTTAGTTACTCTACCATGCCTTTTTGGATGAATGATAGAAAGGCAATATTGCAACTTGCAAGTCTTGCGATCCTGCCATCCTATTATTCGTCCAATCGTTTGAGATTCAAAGCCATCATGCATTTAAAATGGCAGGCGCTGCTACTGCACAAGCAAAAAGAATAGTTCAGAGTTGAACTGCTGATCGCACTAGTTATTTATTAGTCTTGGTTCCAAGACACATACTTTGTTCGACGAAATCAAAGTGGGCTGAACTCAAAACAGGCCCAATTGAACAAAATAATAAAGTCTAGCCAAGAACGAAATAAACAGCGCTGGGCTTTGGTTTCAATAAGCCCTCTGAGGGCCGGAAAAAAAAACGAGACCCAGAGGAACTGGTCGTCTTCTTCCTGAGCACTCTATAACAGCTGAACCAAATAACAGAGTAGCAAAAGCATGCCAACATAGACACAAACGAGAGCAGGAAAAGTAAAGATCACATTCATACCGAAGTTTTACAGAGGTTCCCCAAACTATAACTTAGTTCTCGTTCCGGAGACAACACCTTCTAATTCCGGGAGACTTTTTTATTATTATATTATTCAATAAAAATGTCTTTCAATATAATCGGTATACTATCTTTAAAACGAGCAGTAGTTGCACTAAAGTTTAAATATGATGCAACATATTAAATTTCACTATTTCAATATATATTATATATTAAAGAAAATTTCTATACAGAGAGTCGGAGGATGTAATAGACTGAAAATATCTGGCTGTGTGGGTTAGGTAATTAGCTAAAAAAATGTTAGTCTTAGAAGCAATTATTTTTATTCAAGGATAAGTCTAGGAGCTTTATTACAAAAATCTAGACTTCAGGGATCTGGATAGAAACATAGTAAGTTTGAGGATCCAAATGGATATTAATATATATTCTACATTAAATGCCAAAATTATCCAGAGGAGAGAAGGTTAAGAAGAAAAAGGGAAACTGAAAACCATCTGCTCGTTGTTTCGGCCTTCGCAGGCGAAAACAGAGAGGAGAGGAGGGTTCGACCGAGAAAGCGAGCTCGGCTCGCCGCAGCTGTCAACCGTCGTTATCAGGGGTGAGAGGAAAGGATAGAGGGCGCTAGAGGCTCGCCGTTGGAGCTCTGTCACCTTTCGCCCCCGTGGCGCCCTTTCCCCGGCGGGAAGAAAAAGGATATCTGGATTTGCTTCTTCCCCAATTCAGACAAAACCGAACCCTAGGTGCTGATTTTGGCTTTCCTCGATCGCACTGAGTTTCAATATATTAGGTTTCGATTCACTTGCGGCTTCTTCGCTCGCTTGACATTGACTGGTCGTGTTGCTTTTATTACGATGCAATGGCAAGCTATTAGAGGCTTCTAATCGTCGGGGAGTTAGTTAGTTTGTGTGCTACATCATTTGGCAAGATGGGCATGCCCCTTTCAAGCATTTCCCCCCCTTGAATGGTGAAACTTTGGGAGATTCCATTAGCAATGGGCGTATTCCTTCCCTTTATGGTTCTCCAAATTGGTTCTTTGTTGTGTGTGTATTCAAAGAGGCAGTTAGATTCCTGTGTACTATTTTTTTCTCTTATCTTATTGCTTTCAAGAACACGACGATAGCATATAGCAGTTACCTGACTGTTCCTACCTTGGTTGTCGTATTCATACTGATAAAGCTTTATAGTTTGTATGAAGAACTTCTCATTGAGGAAAGTTATGCTTGTTCATCTTTGAATTTTTTAGTGTGAGTAGTGATATTTGGCTACTTCTTGTTGATATAGTTGCTTCTCTCCCTTCAAAGCATATAAGCATAACACTAACTATGGTCGCTTTTACTTTTTATTATTATCAGGATGTCTGTAGCCTGTGCTGTAGCCTCCTTACCTCTGGTAACCCCAGGTATTGCTCAGACTAAGCACTTGGCTGATGTTCAAATGTTATGATGAAGATGTGCCTAGCAGTTTTCTTTTGTACACTGTATCAGTTCTCCTTCCCTACTAGTTGGCGTAGGCATTTGGGGAAAAATGAGAAATGAATTCTCATAATTTTAATAAAGGACATTGTGACCCTTAAAATCTCTTGTACTTTGGAGCTTGACAGCTATGATTGGTAGTCGTTTCCAAAATCTTGTCGTGTAGAAGGTGTGCAATTGAATACTTATAGATGGTCTTCCTGGAATGCTGGAACAAGTAGATCCATGCTAGAAATTTCTCTGCTTTTGTGCAGTTCATCTTCTTTTACCATGCTGCTTAAACCCCTTGTTTCTTTTCACTTTTGGTGCAGTTTGATGTGCACACTAGCTTATTCGAATGCTAGGTTTAGCAGGGCAAGTCACTTGCTTTCGAAAGAATAATAACTAGATATTGGATTTTTCTTGCCATCGATGAATAAAACATACTAGACCAGCTGTGATGGATGAGGTGTGTATGCCCAGCATAGTAGGCCTAGTGGTAGTGGAAGGGGGAGAGTTGACTTTATCTGCACAATGGTCTTTCTTACAGCATTTCATAATACTAAGTTATCAATTGACAGACACTCACGTTTATGTTTTGCTGTATAGCAAATTTCGAGGGTCTATGGAATGGCCTAAACAAGCAAAAAGATAAGCCAGTCAGGACCTTTGTGCACTTTCAACCTTTGAAAGCAAGGAGGCATCATAAACTTGTGGTTTCTAGACCAGCGAGGCTTTCCACACAATTATCCTCCAATCCCAAGAGAACCCTGTCTCCTGTTATTGTGTGCTCTATTGCTCTGGTGAGAATAATTGCTGTACACACTTTTACTTAACGATTGGTGATTGAATTGTCTTAATTTGATAGTGTTTCTGTGTGGTGTGTCCTATTTGAATGCATCTTTCTCAAGGATAACAGTACATGGCTATAATGATTGTGGAGAGAATTGTGGTAGCAACTAACTCTGACTTTCAATAGGTTAGGTTGTTCATTATGAGTGTACTGATTCAGGAATACATTACTTAAAGAGATATCTAAAGCAGGTGACGAGTTGATGTGTTTTCTTTGGGCTGTTAACAGCGTGTGTGATTAATTTATTTGAATCTCTGTTCTTTGAACTTTTGACTTAAAACTGCTGCTCCTCATTCTTGTTTTTTGGCCTCCTTGGTTTGTCTTCTTTCCAAGGCCGAGTGCAGCTGTTGAATGTGTTTCATGGTCAATGTGTGCTGTCAGTATTTTTCGAGAAAGTGATTTTCCCGTGTATCAATGGATCTGACAGGCTTCTTTTGCTATCCTTATTCGACCCGTTATAGACTCTTCTTGCAATGGGTGATTACTTGGTTTAAAGCTGCTTGTCCATTCTCTCTTGCAAAATAATGCCTTGTTGAGTCACATTTCCTGGGTCTGTGTTTGGTTGTCTTACCCGAGCAATACGATCATATTATATTTCTCTCTTTGAAAAAGTCTGAAAGCTTTAACGATATGCTTTTCTGCATTTGTTTTCTCGTATGAAATTATCACATAATGTGGAAGTTAGAACTGTAACGTGTTTACTTTATATTCTGCAGAATGCAAGGTGCTCCGCTTCCGGACAAACTCAAACTGTTCTCAAGCAGTCACCGACCATTACCCAGGCCCCTGTACGAGGTAACTGCAATTTTTTGCTTATTAATTTCACCTAATTGCAACAATTGGTGGTGGTAAAAGCACATTAACATGTTAATGGTGGTGCTATGTTAAGTGTTAGTAGCTCTAGTGGAGCTGGTTGCTTTAGTTAAAGATTAGTGCCTGTGTTATATGCTTGGTAACGCGTGGGATTGAACTACAGAACCAACTAAGACGCCGGAGATTGATGATGGAGGGCCTGGACTCCCACCGGGCGATGACGGGGGAGGTGGCGGCGGAGGTGGTGGTGGAGGGAACTGGTCTGGCGGCTTCTTCCTGTTTGGCTTTCTTGCCTTCCTGGGATTTCTGAAAGACAAGGAGGGTGAAGATGAGTATGGGGAAGGTAGGAGAAGGTGAAACTAGTCCCCCAGTGTAATCGTAAATGTAATTCTTTTAAGAAACTTCATCCAGTCAAAAAGTAATATTTATATGTAAGTTGATTGTAGAGAGAGTCGACTTTGTATTGGTCCACCTCATCAAATTAGTAGCCAGTTCCCTCTACTTCTTCCTTATAATAATTTCACCTTGTTGTCAATTGTTTATCCTTCCCCAAATAAATTGAGGATCGTTCTGGTTGGTTATAGTAAAAAATTTTCACCAATGATGGATTTTCATCGTGCTTGGAGAACCTAATGGTAAGTTACTGCACCTTGATATTGAATTGCATCAAATAGTGCATTGTCAATTATCTAGAGACGGAAGCAGGGGAAGGGATTGCAATTTCGACTTGACTTACGGATCTCGTTCCGTATTGATTTGTTTTGCATGGGGTATTGGTTGTCTTTCGAGTTGCTTGGATTGGGCATAGGTCTTATTTTTTGCCGTCTCACTTTGTTCTCGATGAGTATGATCTCATATTCTCATTGCTCTCTAGTGCAAATTTTCTACTTTGACAAACCATTTTACTGTCTTTGATGAGTGTTAATATTACATACGTTGTGTTTATAGTCACATGCTAAGATAGGTCATCACCCCATCCCCTATTCCCCTTCCCCTTTGTCATCCTTAAGTGGAGGTAGTTGGTAATGGTGTAGTGAGCAACCGTACGGTTTCGGATTAACCCGACCTCGAATTTCAAGTTGCTAAAAATTCAGACCGCAAACCTTACTGTGTGGTTTTGGCGTATCGTAAAAGTGATTAGGTGCGACTCGACTCCTAGAGAGCGATTTGAGGTAATCCAAAAGCCGCGACACGTGTGTGTGCTAAAACTAGAGCCAAGAAAGTGGAAAGTGACGGGACAGAAAGCAAAGCGAATGAGACGAACAACACGTACATAAGAACAAGACAGCAGAATGGGTGTAGGACGGGGAAATCTTGAAGAAACGTAGCAGAGCATCGTGTTACGAGTTCCACATCTCCATTTTTCTGTAAAACTTGTGGCTGAAATGGCCAACTGTTCTTGCTATGTTGTAGAATCCACCACAAACTCTGAAACTCACTCCCGCCATATTCGTCCAAATTTAAGTGCTGAGACGAAGTGAAGTGTTAACTGCGACGTTTCTTTAGCTAGAATGGTGACAACTGAGAGGAAAACTACTGGACAACGTACGCCCCACTAGCAGCAGCAGGAGATCAATGATTGCATAGAGGAGCTGAAGTAACCGAAGTAACCGAACTTCGGTCGGTTATCGGAAGCTGGCCAAAATGGTTTTTGGTATTAAAAATAGTTTGGTTAACCGATAATTGAGGTAACCGAGAAACCGAATCCTATTTCGGTAAGGGGGTATTTATTTAGGTCAATCGATAACCGGCCAATCGGTTATAACCGAAATAACCGAACTGCCACCCCTAATTGCAAGGTTTGTGCCTCTTACCGGCCGAAAACTGTTTGGATTTCCAGTATTAGAAAATGAGCACAAATTGGACACCTGTTTGGATCCAATGAATCTGAACAACGTTATTGCCACAATAAAGTTTTGACCATAAAAATTATATAAAACAAAATCCGTATCCATAGTTAAGAAAAGTGAATGAATATATGTCCTGATCAAGAAATCAAGCAAAAGCAATTCCACTATGCCAATCACTTGTAAAGTCGGATTTCTTGGACCAAAAAAGTTGTGAAATGTTTGGAATCTAAATATTTATTTCCATGTTTAATAATATTTGATAAAGACAGTCATTAAAAAATTTAACATAGATCGGTATGAAATTGACATGCATGCATCCAAATTTGCAGACATCATGCTTAATTTGTTTAATGTGTGGATTCTGTCCTAATGAACTTTTCAACAGTGGAGATCGAGATTAAGGAAAGCAACACGCCACTTATCAAGGATCGTCACAAATTTTGATTTCTATAGGTGGAAATTGTATTGTGTTGGAGTTCGGAAGTCGGGGAAATTAACAATTATGATTGTAGTTACTTATTGTCAAACAAACATTGTGATACGATAAACTGTAATCGGTATTTGTATCGTAAGAGGTTACATATTAGTCATCTTTGTATAACTAATTTGTAGACGGCATGCGATAGATTGGACTAAATTTTGAAAAACAAGAGTTTTGAACTTAATGACGTTGCATTTTAGGATAACAAACGACATATAGACGCACCATGAAGAAAGATTTTGTGTATAGTTACGTGTGCTTATTGATCGATGATCACAAAAGTCATAGCTTCGATCGGCGGCTGGAGGCCGAAAAATATGAAGTTTGAGGAATATGGGCCAAAACGGGATGGAGAACAACGTCTTACCAAGATTTACATACAGTTCATCTCTATATTTCCCCTTGTTATAGTTAGAACTTAGTTATATTTACTCAAATAAAAGTAAATTAAGATGACTTTAAAGTTTGCACAGATCTTAATACTCTGTGTGTTTAACTAGTCTGGTCGTCGAGATTCAACTGAAACCATCACAATCACAGCAGAAAGATCTGATATACCATATTACAAACCAATTAATTTCAATAACTCGAGTTGTTGAAAGAGATACAATTATAAATCTTACGTCATTTTACTAACCGTTTTCATGCACTAGTATTAACATCCTTGAGAACTAGTAATTAGTAACTGTAACCTTATGATCAGCTTTGCTAGTAGCTCTCTGCGAATCTTCTACATGTGCTTAGTTGTAGTCTTGTAGATGAATTAGTTAAGTAAGTGTGAACGATTGACCGAATAGTCCGATAATTCAGCTCCCATGAGCTAAGCTAAGCCTAATCTATAGCCCTCGATTGCTTTCTCAAGTCAAAGTGTTGACTAACTATGCAATTAAGTCAAATATCACTCCTTAATTAGTATATATCGTCTCTCTCTGGTAAATACACGTGGCCTACGTACAAGGCTTGCCTACCCTTCACTGAACTTTGATATTCTAACTTCTCAGATTGCTTATGTTGCACACATCGCAAGTGTTAGACTCGTTATTTCTTACGAAATTATTAAAATGAATATTTTATTTGTGTGTTGGTCATGATTCCCCGTAACTTCTCACTATGTTCAAGTATATTCGTTCACTTTTCGAGATTATTATTATTATTATCTCAAAAGATAAGAAACCAGACTTATAAGATAAGAGAATTAGTGAAGATAAACAAGTCCAAGAGGAGGTCTACTACGAGCTGCAAAGAGATAGGTAAGGCCGTCGTTATCCGAGTAATCAAACAATCAGTTCATATACACACAAAACTGCCCATCGTTGTTGACCTTTTGAAAATAATGAAGAGATCGTTGACCACCCCACAATTTCTGGCAAAGCAATTTCATCCGAATTTCTTCTCCCAAAATTACAAAATAAGATGTTATAGTTAGGGTGGTTGAAGATACCTACAAAAAATAAACGTTTTTTTTTAACGAGTTGAGGTTAGGTTAAAACAACTGAATTTTGACATTTGAGAGTGTAGAACTTATGTATCCAATGAGCGAAGTTCTATAATTATTGTTGAAGTCACTTTAAAACAATCGACCTTTGACTTTGAGAAATCTGAATGTTTCACGGAGATTCTCATAACGTTCAAACAAGATTTGAAATTCTTCATCAACTCGTCCCTCTCAAGCTAATTCATTTAAGCATCTAGGTTTAACATGATCTTCCTGAGTGCCCAAATTCCTTCCTCCTTTGCAGAACTTAGAAGCTTCAAACCTCATTAGAGAGGGAAGCTCTAATTCATTTCTCCTAATTAACCTAATTTCTAGAGTTATAACTCAAACTATGAAGCATTGGGTCATAGGCAGCTTTCTCATCACCAGCAATTACTGGTTCTAAGGCTCGAACCAAAGGTGTGATATTTGTTATACCATTAACTTAATTATCACACCGAAAAGGGATAAACAAAAATAATTATACTTTTTCTGCATGGTGGAATATTTACGTCGGGGGATTAGATCCATTTCCAAGAAAGGAGAGAACAAATTAACATGGTACAAGATTCATATGTAATCCCCTTTTGGTAGAATATCCATATGATACATTATTATTAGTATCTTATTAATTAAGGTTAATGAATAAGGATAGGAAATCGTGTAAGGAATCTTGAAATGGAAAGAAATCATTTTTGGCCAAATGGTATGTACGACCCGCAATTCTATCTTTTAAGTCCCAACCTTATCCTAATTAATATTTAATATGATGATAAGCACCGTCGCCAAGCACGAGATAAATCCAAATCATATATACTTTGTTATAAACGCGCTGCTACGGATCGGGAAATCGCCAGAATCGACAAAGCAAGAATACGAAAGCGAGAATCGAAAAACACAGACACACGATTTACGTGGTTCACTAACACGATGTGTGTTAGCTAGTCCACGGGCGAGAGAGAGCCAGATTCACTATATCGAGGAGATTACATATTACAGAGGAGTATGAGAAGTATTTATAGTACTTCTCCATGTGGGTCTAAACCTAATCCAATCTCCCAAAGGAAACGGTTACAGACCAGGTCCAGAACCCGAACCCAAATAACATTGAGCCCATACACCGTGGGCCGGGGGCGTTGCCCCTGGACCCCACTCGCTGACCGACCCCCGATTACCAGTCGTAGCGGCTGATAGTCCGATTCAAGTCACATCAACATACTTCTTGGTCGGATCGTAAAATCCAATTATGATGGATGGATCAGGAGTGAGATGCAAAGCCTATGACTAATCCAAAATGTGTGTTTATGGATTGTTGTTCTCCTATTGTTAAATTGATGTATTATATTATATATATTTTTTAAATTTGGTGGGTATTGTAAATTACAGCATTTGGTATATGTGATTGTGTTTCTAAAAATTAGAAAATGTAATTTTATAAGAAAAAATGATCTTTCAGGAAAAATGGTCGTTTCTAAAGGTTTAAGTTTGAAGGGGAAAAGAAAGAAAACAATCCAAGTATCACCTAACAATTGCAACAATCTCAAGAAAAAATCTCAAATAGTACAATCACTCATTATGAATGATTGTTTCCGTCACATCAAGTAAACAATGCATGTATTGTTTACGCATAAAAATCAGAAAAAAAATATAAATTATAGACAATACAAGCATTGTAACCATCTCACTCAAACAATCGCCCAAACTGAACCACCCTAAGAAAACATTACATGAATGTTGTCTTTAAGAAAATCATAATACAAAGAGGAGCACTTCTACTATGTTATAAAACATAGGTGCTTTAATGTACAGTTTAAAGTTGTACCATAACCTAAAATGTATAAGTTTGGGTTGTATCATAAAGGAATTTGTACCCTTATGTTATGATACAACTTCACAACTTTAAGTTGTAGCATCGCATAAAGGTACAAGTTCAAGTTGTATCATAATTTTTTTTTGTAAAATGATATAGGTACAAGTTGAAATTATATCATAACGTTAAAGGTACAACTTGAAGTTGTATCATAAAAAGAAAAACTATATCAGAATGCTATATAGCATTGTAAAATTTCTCTACAAAGAAATAGGTGCGATTATAAGAGAGAGTGAATTTGACTGATGACCACCCAAATTATAAAATAGGCTAATCCAAATTCCAAACAATGAGTATCCCTCCTCTTTTCGTCGTTTTTTGTTTTAATTTCTTGATTATTATTTATTTTTGGCCGTCCCCGTTTTGGTCGTCTATATAACGCCAAATCACTGCCCCATTTCCCCATTATCGCCCAGGCAGAGAGAAACCAGGCAAAAAACCACTCTCGACTCGCCGTCACTCACTTCTCCCCGTTCCCTCCTTAAAGAAAATGGCCGTTACAAGCGCCGTCAGGGATACCGCCACCGCCGCCGGCACAATTGAGATCCAAAACAGCCGCAACCACAACAACAAGCTGGCCGATTTCGAACCACCCGTCAAACCCAAACGTAACAAGTATGCCTTCGCTTGTGCGATTCTGGCCTCCATGACTTCCATCCTGCTCGGCTACGGTCAGTCAACATATTATTATTATTTTTTATATAAAAGTGTCTTCATCTTTACGACCGACAAAGAACTGAGTAGTACGCACTGAATTTTGGTGTAACGCAATTGTAACCCAACTGTTTTATCGTGTCGGATTTAATTTCGGACATGGTAAAAAAAAAAATTTGTAGATATTGGAGTGATGAGTGGGGCGGCGATTTTCATAAAGGACCAATTCAAGATCTCGGACACACAAGTCGAGGTGCTGGTCGGGATGCTGAACATATACTCCTTGGTCGGCTCCGCCGCCGCCGGGAGGACTTCCGACTGGATTGGGCGCCGGTACACCATCGTCGTTGCCGGAGCGATTTTCTTCGTCGGAGCTCTGCTGATGGGATTGGCTCCAAACTATGCCTTCCTTATGGTCGGCCGATTCGTCGCCGGCGTCGGCGTCGGGTACGCTCTCATGATCGCCCCTGTCTACACCGCCGAAGTCTCCCCTGCTTCTTCCCGTGGCTTCCTCACGTCTTTCCCTGAAGTACGTTACCAAATTTTTTTTGTTCTCCGGTTGTGTTTTATTACTTTACCATAAGTAATAAATATTTTACCAAAAGCTTTCATACTATTGCCGAAAATGAATTTTGGATTAATGGAATCTGCAACAAGATTGGTTTTTGGATAAAATGAATCTGCACCAAGATTAGTTTTGGATAAAAATGAGGTGAATTAAATGATAAATTACATATCTTATCCTTTCAAATCTCAAATTTCCTCTTTGATCAACAAATCTCATGATACTAGTTGACTGAACTTGTAAGATAATTTTTCAGCGTCACTATTTTAAATTGTTAAAATTATCATATTCTAATTTTTTTTTAATATATCTCTACGTGTTTGCCATAATCAAGTGCATAATTTACCGTCTACAATTACCCGACTAAATAATTTTTCATATTTCTTGTCGTTTAACGACACGATGATAATTTTGTAAGTAACTGAACTGTTGGCCATTATTCCATTTAGCGATTGAAAATATTCGATCCACTAAGTGAAGGAGCTAATCTGCTGATTTTGAAATATGTTCGGAGCCGACTTCTTTTTCAGATTTTAATGATATAGTTACATATTTACACTCACAAAATTAAATTTCCTTTCAAGACAAATATAAAATTACATCTCTATGTGTTTAAAAAATAGGGCCGTCAAACCGTTCTTCACACAATAATAGTGAATAAGGATTGATCTAGTAGTACTAGTTCGATCTCTTAAGTAGCCTCTAATGATAAAAACCAATATTTGCCGCTAAAAAATATTGGATTCGAATTATGAATTGTTCGACTCCACTAATTGAAGTAGCTAATGATTTTGAAATTTTGTTCTGCGCCAATCTCGTTTCAGGTTTTCATAAACGCCGGAATTCTACTCGGCTACGTGTCCAACTACGCCTTCTCCAAGCTCCCGGACCACATCGGCTGGCGCATGATGCTCGGCGTCGGCGCAATCCCCTCCGTCTTCCTCGCCGTCGGCGTCCTCGCCATGCCGGAATCCCCACGCTGGCTGGTTCTACAAGGCCGCCTCGGCGACGCCAAGCGCGTCCTCGACAAGACCTCCGACTCCCCGGAAGAATCCCAATCGCGCCTCTCCGACATCAAATCCGCAGCTGGAATCCCTGAAAATTGCAACGACGACGTCGTTGCCGTCGCCGACAAAAAATCCCACGGCGAAGGCGTCTGGAAGGAGCTCCTCCTCCGCCCCACACCCACCGTCCGCCACATTTTAATCTGCGCCATCGGAATCCACTTCTTCCAGCAAGCCTCCGGCATCGACGCCGTCGTTCTGTACAGCCCGAGAATCTTCGAGAAGGCCGGAATCACGTCGAAGGACAAGAAGCTCCTCGCGACGATCGCCGTCGGGTTCACGAAAACCGTCTTCATCCTCGTCGCCACTTTCCTGCTCGACCGGATCGGGCGGCGGCCGCTGCTGCTCAGCAGCGTCGGCGGAATGGTCGCCTCTCTAATAACCCTAGGGTGGAGCCTGGAAGTAATCAACCACCAGGCCCAGGCCCAGAATTGGGCCGTGAGCCTGTGCATCACCATGGTCCTGGCCTACGTGGGCTTTTTTTCGATCGGGATGGGCCCGATCACGTGGGTCTACAGCTCGGAGATCTTCCCGCTCCGGCTGCGGGCCCAGGGGACGAGCATGGGCGTGGCGGTCAACAGGGTGGTCAGCGGCGTGATTTCGACGACGTTCATTTCGTTGTACAAGGGTTTGACGATCAGCGGCGCGTTCTTCTTGTTCGCCGGAATCGCCACCGTGGCGTTCGTGTTCTTCTTCCTGTGTTACCCGGAGACGCAGGGGAGGACGCTGGAGGACATGGAGATTCTGTTTGGTAGTTTCATTGGGTGGAGGGCTTTGAAGGTGGAGAGGTTGAGGGAGAGAGAGGCCCAAAATGGGCGTGAAGTGGAATTGTTGGATAGTAGGAAGTAACTAGAAGATGGTGTAATGGTTAATGTGTGTGGTTGTGGTGTTTGGGAGTGTAGTTAATAAAAATGAGCTGGAAACATGGAAAAATTAGTGGGTGTTCCTTCTTCTATAGATGACATGACACATGTTAAGCTTAATATCGGCCAGAATCGTTAATATCAATAAATAATAATTCAAACAGGTGGAAGACATTAAGATTCGATCCTTTTGCACAAGAAACGTGAATACAAATTGTGGACCTTCATTAGTAGAATGGGGAGGAAGAAACTTTATCTGTCAGAAAAAGCGGAATCATAATTAGGGTAATGTGTATTTATTATCCAAACATTTTTTGGATTCTTTTTTTATTAGCCAAACCTATCGAAATACTAAGAATTAGTCAAATGTTAACTTTCAGTTATAAATTTTGTCAGTAATATGGACTTGACAACACGATACTTACTTGGAAGAGACACATAAAGGGCAACATTTCTGTATTTTAACTAAGAAATGAGTTACAAAATTTAACAATAACATAAAAATGGCATATTTTGATGCACTACGAAAGATTTGGCTAGTTAATAACATTTTAATAGGTTTACATAATACAAATCTTAAAAATCTTAAAGCATTTTTAGAATCCTACCCCCTCCACGTAAGCCTCCGTGAAACCCCACTCATCCACGTCATTACTTTAAAAGTCCTTCCTCCGCCAAATAGAACCTTCCCAAGCCTTCAATTTTCCCCCCAATACAACCTAGGAGTCTCCCCTAAATTCACAACTACTCCTTCCTACGATCGTACGCATCGTCAACTCCTCCCGGCATCCATCATTCAACCCCAATCGTCCGGCTCCCAATTTCTACCACTTAGTCCGCCTGCGTCCGTTCATTGGTATCTCTGATTCGGGCCACCACCCCAGTGACTGCGGCCTTATCCAAACGGGAGACCGCCAATTCCGTCCGACTTCGTACACCCCCAGTACATTGTTATTCCACTCGATCTTGATCTGTCTTCAATGCTTCGGTGATCGACAGTGTGTATCAATATATCGTTTGTGTCCTATGAAATTGCCTATTGTTGCTTTACTTCATCTTCTGGCCATTTTTTCATCTTGATGTTCAAATGCATATTACTTTTACAGATTTGAGGAACACCTACGGTACTCCGCTATCTCTTGGAACTGTGCTTTTTGGATGCAAATTGCTTGACTGGTAAGTTGAACATTGTTTATACAGTTATTTCTGCAATAGTACCGATTCAATGGAGGAGTTCTACTAATGGTATGTAACATGCTGAAAATTTTCATCAGTGACTGGGAAGACGTTGGCTGAAAATCTGAAACCCTGTCCTCCTTTGTCAGAGGGCCAGGTGAGATTTTAGTTTTCGGTATCAGCGGCATAAAGAACGACCGGATGGCGGTAATGAAGCAGTCAGTAGAGCATGTGTCGATAGAGGCGGAGGAGGAAGAAATTGCGATTCATAGAAATAGAATCGCAAGATGGAAGTACTCCCACTGAAAAGGATTCCCGGCAAACCGTATTCTGGTGGAAATACTCACCGAAATCAGAAGGATTTATGTACAAAACAGAGGATGTAGTGATGTTGCATGGTTTCGTTGGATTGATCTACTACATGGGCATAGGATTCTAAGACACCCTCTGTGACTCGGGTTACAACGGCGAAAACTTCCTGGTGGTGGATGTGGCCTGGACTCGGATCATTAAATTCTCTTATTTGAACTTCACGACGCAGGGATTTTGGTAAAACCTCATTCAATATTGCATCAACCCAGCCAATCAATATATGCCTACTTAATTCTTCCTTTTCCTATGTTCTATTTAATCTCCTTTTTTCGGTTGGAAATTTGGGATTAATAGGGAGTTTCTTTTCACTACCAGAGACAATTATGTTGATGTTTATTTTTTCAATGCTCCATAATCCATATATCAATCCATTGTATGATTTTTTTTTTTTTTTTTGTACTCTTCCAACCGCAACGATATTAAGTTGCTTTTCTAATTTTGATGGGCAAAGTAGTTTTTCTTTCTGGAGAGTTTGTTGTATGGCTCAAATAGGTTATGTTGGAAGAATTTCTGCTGATGTCTCTACTGCACTTCCTAAACAAGGCTGATGGCTCATTCTTTCAATTTCTCCTTTTACTTCTTTGATCTAATTTCAATTGAATGTAATCGTGCCATAGTGGCACCAAGCAATAGTACACATTGTAATCAATAAAAATATGTGTTAGTAGTCAAGTAGACAAACATTGAATTCAATTCACAGAAGTTAGCAGTGGTTTCCTTGACTATTTGTGAACTCTCATAGAACAAATTGTAAAATTACGTAATAATGTACATCATGCTTAATGCGACCCTACTGGGATTACTTATGCTTGCCTTTTGTTTCTTATCCGTAGTACACTAGAGCTTCATTTTCATACATATATACTGACTTAGCATTTCACTAAGGCTTTTATAATTTGATCAATAAAGCCAGCTTATGCCAATAAATCACTACGACAAACCAAACAAGTAATTCCTTTTTATTGACTTAGAGGAACCAATGCCCATCTTTGTTTTGGAGATTTTGTTTGAATGCATACTCATATGCACCCTCAAATGGACAGAAAAGCTAAAGAGACTGATGTTATTGGACTATCCCACAAACAAAACACAAAAACTTTGTTACGGTTTCTTAGCTTCATAGTAAGTTCTAGATTATATTTGAGTTTGAACATGGATGGTGTATCTGTTATAGTCATCTTCAATGAGTGTTGTGTGATGAACATTAGTCGTATTTTAACTGTTGAGTATAACAGGGGATATAAATGTTAAAAAAATGAGTAGGTCAACCAATAATGAAAGCCAACTCCCATAAGTAACAACAAACCATTAACATATCCCTCTATTTTTTTTTGTTATAAGTACAGGAGATTTGCATTTTAGGCTACTACATGAACTTTATAACACTATTGACTAATGACATATTTGCAAGTTTAGCTGATCCACGTGATGGCAGCAACCGCAAAGGCCCCTCAAACCAGGGTAAAAAAGGAGATGTCAAGCCTAGCCATACTATCCCCTTCAGTCAAAATTGTCAAGAGATAACCAGGATTGGCAATGCTCGCTTGAGGCAACACCGAGAAGCTACTGGCCACCACATCATTGCAAATTCAAGAAACAACATAAACAAACAAGAAGCTCATAACTACTTCAGCCCTTTCCGATTTCAAATGACCAAATCAACAATTGTTGCATCTTTCAATTGTGAACATTGTCATCAAACCCCAAAATACTACTGCTATGTTAGCATAACTTCATATTATTCATTAGACTATGTTTGTGAACCACAACTGCCCCAAATTACTATATTTGGATAATGATATATTATGTTTGAGTGCGTTGTGAATTTAAGTTGATTATATCAAATTTCGCAAAGACATAAAGAAAGAGCAGAAAATAGATGGCACAACGGACTAAGACAATAATAAACCCGGCCAAAGGCCGGGTGATTTTAATATAATTAAATATATTAAGGGAGATAATAGGAATGTACCCGGTTTACAAATCCGATCGAATCATTGTATTGTATATGATTGGGATTTTGTATGATTTTGTAAGTCGAGGTTTTAAATCGGAATCCAAGGAAATTATTTATCAGGTTGATTTGTATGTTCAGATTATTTTGGATATTTAAATTTCAGATATTTTCATAGCACCTTCTCCAAAAATAAATTTGTGTATGTTCATTTTATTTTGTGTATCAATTGACATTAACCAATACACTCAAATCAATTATCTTATACAGCGTACACTATGAAATTCAAGAGCATACAAACATACAATCGGTTAAATAATAAATTTGGAATGTCGAAAAATAATCTAGTTGAAATTCTTATTAAATTTCAAATATTTCTTATTATAAAAAGCCATTACTTATGAGAAAGTGTCGGCTTAAAACAAACAGCAAAAAATTATAAACTCCCATCTAAAGGCAAAACCTTCCAGGGAAAATTTTGAAAAAATAAAATATTTAAAAAATCGGATTGGGATGACGGCTAAATTCAAAAAAGATGAAGTGCCGTGAAAAGTGAAAACGGAACGTAAAAAGAAAAGATAAAAAAAATAAATATAATTACCGTGGATTAAGGAGAAGCCTTTAAGGCTGACGTGGATAGGGTTCAATTCTCAAACCTCACAATTTACTGGCAACCCAACCCCCAAACCCGACCCGGCCCTCCCCACTTCTCCCTGCCGACGCCGTCGTTTAAGAAAAATCATACCCTTCGGCCTTCGTTTAGTTTAACAATCTTAAAATATATTAAAGGGGTTTTAAAAATAGACCCTGTCCACGTCAGCCTTGCAGGCATTTCCGTGAGTTTCGGAAATCGTTTTTTATAATATTTTTTTTTCCGCTGGTCATTTGTAAACTTCCACTTAATTTTGATCATTATCTATTTTTCTTTGCTGTTTTTTTTTTAGAAAATTTCTTTGCTGTTCTCTGTTTTAAGTGTTTTCTTTCTCATTTTTTTTCGTTCATGTATTTATATTAGGAATACATGGAATTTTTAACATCACTCTCATTTCCATACTTATCTTCACCATATTTGTTCTCTTTAACGTTTAGAAGTATTATTAACTTCTCCCCAAAAAAGAAAAAAAAGAAGTATTATATAATTTCTACCAAATATCCTATATTTTATGTGTATGTACAAATCATTTGAATATCTTGGATAATAATTAAACACACATTTATATATCATATAAAATAATCATTTGAATATTTTGGCCAATAAATCACCTTTAGTGGGATTTTTATAAAGATACCAACCCAGCACTAGAAATGTCTAACCCATAAGTGAAGGTCAAATCAAGATTAGAAAAACAAACCATCATGAGCGAGTATTTTAAACATCCCAAAATTTTAGCATAGACATGTTATATACTTAGCAAAGAATTGGTATATGTAGATTAAGATTGAATATCTTGAGTTAGGAACATGTATCGCTTATATCAATAAATAGAAAATTATTTTTACAGCATCAAGTGGTTAATTATGTAATTAGTCTTTCTATTTTAATTAAATGAAGTCATCAAAATTTTACATAAGGGTCTCATGTGAAAAATTACAAACATTTATAAAAATAATATATACAAAAATAATTTAAATATAATAATTAAGTATCTGATTATATATGTTGCATGTTCGCGAAAACATGATTATACCGTATGTATGCATAAAATTTTCATCTTAAGAAAACGTAATCACATAATAAAATAAGACTTCCCGGCCAACAGGCCGGGTACCAAGCTAGTAATTCCTAATTCGTTTCGTCCCTTCCTCCCACTCTCCCAGTTCCCACCGAATCGGAGAATCAGAATCGGAGACCCTTCATCTTCCTTCATCGGAGTTTCGACCCGCTGCGCCTTTGCCATCCCGGTCGCCGACGTCCGGCGTTCCCCTGCGGGCTGCGACGGTGGGTGAGCTGGCCCTGGCCGTCCGCCGTCCGTCTTCACTCTTCGACTTCAACTCTTCAAGTTCGAATCAAGCCCCTGCCCTGCCCGAGAAAAATACAGAAACAGAGCATAGCGCGCAGTCATCGCCACCAGAGCATAGCGGCGCCGGCGCTGCGCCCCTCTCCCTCCATCGTCCCGCCCTCTATTCAAAAGTGCTGTGCCGTCAATCACAATCAATGTAAGCTGGAGTTTGATTTCAGAAGTGCCGCTGTGCCGTGCCGTTCCAAAAAGTATAATTATAGAAATTTTATTCAATGGATTTTCAATATAAGCTGGAGTTAGATTTCAGATGACTTTTGTTCTTTTGTGTTCTCCAAATTCACATGTTCTGCTTGAGCTTGAACCTTCTCTTCTGCAAATTGCCAACTTTTCCTCTGTTATGTACATATATATATATATGCTCGAACAACCTTCTAATTGTAGTTGGCATCTTCTGATATTTTGATAGGGAGAAGCAAGGAGAAGGAGCAAAAACAATGAAAAACAAAGGAAAGGCAATTTCAGCTCCTGCCCCTGCCGCCAAGACCAAGAGTAAGAAGAGACGCAGGGTTGATGAATCAAGTGGAAGTGGAGGACTTGCAGATGTTGCCGGTTCTGTGGCAGCACCTACTGCAGAGGTTGTGGCTCCTGAGCACCCTGTTGCTGCTACTGGTGAAGCTGTTGAAGCAGCTCCAACAACAAAACAACCTGCAAAAAAGAGTAAGAGGAAGGTGTCCAAGATAAAGTCAACAGCATATGAAGAGTACGAACTGTATTATGTACCAAATCCAAATGCCGAGAAACAAACAGCGGAGGGGAAGGTAGTGAAGAAGGAGTTGAGGAAGGCAATGGAGAAAATGGACTTGGATCACTTGTGTGACAAGGTAACGGAGATTAAAGGAGGATTGGAGAAGGACGCAGCAAATTGTCAATGGCTTCAGCAATTCGTCCCAAGTCGTTCTTAGATAATGTACAGTTGGCCACGGTTTGCACATCACTGGAACATTTTGGAGTAGATTAGCCATAATCTAAAGACTGTCCGCTAGAGGCTTTCATTTTGCCTTTTCCCTCTGTTTTTGTAAATTTGCTTCTTTCATTCCGTAGGGGAGTTGGAGGGGGAAAAGAGGATCAACGGGATTAGAGAGATTTTGCTTTCGAACAGGGTAAATGCAAGCTGAGGATTAGGTATCGTATCATGTCCCAAAATTCGATTAATACGAATTTTCTTGTGGCCTTTTTGAAGTAACCATTTTGGTTCAAGTGTTCAACATTTCGCAGGCCTAAATTACTCGCGCAGCAATACGTGACTACAAAACCAGAGAGCACTGACTACACTGTACTCATTTCTGTCTCAAAACTAGACGGTTAACTTGCCTGCTACAGTACATTTTTTAAATTATTAATCCTACGATACAATCAAATTATAACAGCAAAGCAGGTTCACCCGTTCCAATGAATCTCAGATTGATGCTTCTATCCAATCAGTGTATCTCAGTCAATGCTACATACACTAAGCACACGAGAAGACAGATCGAGAGTTGCGATAGAATTCTGGAATTAGTAGAGTTTTTAGCTGGTTTTTCGATCTCCTTGTTGATTCCGTGACTCTAAGAACAGCCGCAAAGTTGAGTAGATCACCGATGGATCAGCCATTGCACCATTACCATAATCTCCACAAGCCAACCTCTTTGAAACAGGTGGGATTAGGGTAATCCCGATTTCATCGATTCCCATGAGATGTCTTTCTGTGAAAGGGTTGGTCCACATGAATGTGTTCATGGCAGGTGCCACAAAAAGTGGCTTCTCGTAGTCCCATGCTCGGACAACACAAGTCAGCAGGTTATCGCACAATCCCCCCGCGATCTGCATTTATACAAATATGAAGGGAAGAAAAAAGAAAGATAGTTAGCATCAAGTAATCCCTAACAACCCGCAAAAGAAACCAAGTTAACAGGGGAATTATAGAGCAAAGTATATTGGGATTTGACATGCAAGTTTTCAACTTGCATCAATCAATGACTTTAACTGATTGTTAAAGCAAAAACTTAAGAGTTAGGGCCTTCCCGCAACTTAAATAAGTGGATGGATCAAGCAAATTACCTTCCCGAGGGTATTAGCTGATAATGGGGCAATAATCATGACATCAGCCCATCGACGGAGTTCAATATGCAGCACGTTATCCCCAATCTTGCTCCAAGTAGACCATTCATCCTCGTCTGTGTATAGAACCACATCCTTAGGAAGCGCTGCTTTATCAATGAAATGCAGAGAAGCTTTGGTAGCGACCGCTTTTACTTCAGCCCATTCAGAGAAACAGTGGCAGAGGTTTGCAAACTTGATGGCAGCCACACTCCCACTAGCAGCAAGCAGAATCCTTGGTTTCCTGCTAGGCTCTGCTTTTGTATGAACAACTTCCCTTTCTCTTTTGGCCATGGAGCTAGAAATCTGTCAATTTCGAGCCAATGCAGAAAAATTTCAATACTCTGATGTCTAGCAATTCAAAATAAAAACCAAGCGTCCTCAGGCACAAAAGCAAACTCATTGAAGCAATAGATCGAACACTCTCAAGTCTCAATCCAATCAACGGATAGTCCATTTAACCTCTAGAACTCACTTCTTTTAGACATCTTATATCTCATAACAGCTCTCACCCAATCCCACAAAAGTCGAGGATGACCCTTACCCATTGATTATCATCACGTAACATCTCCATGGGTGAGAACTTTCTCCCCCGAAATCGGTATTTTCATGGTGATCAAAACAGCTAGAAGTGTTCCCTAATTCAAGCCATAACCGTTAAATTGAACGCAAACCCAGCACCAAGTTGAACAAGGAGAAAAATCAAATACTAAATTTCAAGCGAACCCAGTAGATTAGATGTCAAACAAATAAGGTTCGGAATCTGTATTCGAAAATTCTGTCCGACTAGTACTAACTGAACAGTGGACCAGATTTTGAAAGACTGAGGAGAAAGCGACTGAACTTACAAAGAACTTGAGTTGCTGAGCAGAATTGGTAGAAGGAAGAGAGAAGCGGCAGGTCCGAAGCACGGGAGACTGGAGAGTAGGGGAAAATAAGAACTTTGAGGATGCCGGGTTTGTAGTCCCTGTGGCGCGCGCCCTTTTTACTTCTTCTTCTTCTTGGTTGATTTCAAGTGCAATCTTGTTTCTGTTCTTCGACCTGCGATTTCTAGGTTAGCACGAAGGAATCCTTTGATATCAATGGAATGGAGGATAACACACCTGGGAATTGAAGCCGCAACAACAGCTTCCCCTATTTAGGATGTTGTTGTCCCGCCCGCGCACAAGGGGAAACGTCGACTTCAGGAATACAACGTCGACGGGATAAAAAATAATGAGATATAAAGTCGGCTGCGGAGTCTAGTCGCTGGGATCAAGTCCGAAAATAGGGAGAAATACAGAGAAAGGAGTGGGGTTGGAAAGCCTGCGGCGGTAGTGGAATGGTATTTGCGATAACGGAACCGGCTAAGAGCTTATGCAGGAAATGATAATCGTTCGTGAATAAAGTGGCAAGGGGAAGATGGAGGAGGTTTGATTTGGAAATTGTCTCCCGGCGGCAGATTTGGGAATTGGGACAACAAATGGCTGCAATTGAAGGGGGAGGAGGGTTCGTTGCGTTGGGCTTCTTTTGTTTTTTTGTTTTTTTTTCCCTATAAAGGTGTCGTTGGGGTTGGGAACGGAGAAGGAAGTCTCTTGGGAAAGATATTAAATGACGTGGAGGCTTGGATGGCGTGGAAATTTGAATCCCTAAGCGGCAGTTCTGGAAAACGAAGTAGGAATTATTGTTAAACTAAAGGGTAAATACAATATATTAGCCAAACTTTTTGCGGTTAAACAAAAGAATAGTCAAACCTTTCAAAAAACAAAATAATAGCCAAACCGTTAACTTTCCATCTGGTCAACTGTTAGTTGACTCTTGTGTGGCTAATTCGTGCTGACGTGGCAATGATGGAACACTCTCCATCCCTTCCCCTCTCCTCCCCTCTCTCTTCTCCGGCCAAGAAACTTCGAAACCCTCGATATCTCCCAAACTTTTTCATTAGCAGCAACCACCTCGTCGTCCGAGAACCTCCGCTTCCTCCCGTCATGCTTTCACCTACCTCCTTCCATGGAAACAAGCAAAGATTCGACACTCCAGTTCGATCCGTCGTTCTTAAATGGCGTCACCGACGATTGCTAGAGCGATTAAGCAGTTTGGATTTGGGGAATCGAAAGCGAGGAAGAGCGAGGGGAAGGAAAGGGATAACAGAGGAAGAGCCACAGGGAATTTGGAGGCGAGGAAGAGTAGGGTATTTGGGGAATTGGATTTGGGCAATATATTGATTGGATTTAGCTTTTGATTCTCTTAGTTTGGGACATAGATAAATGGGTTTCAGTTTAATTTGTTTAGATTTGGATGGTGTGGAGGGGAGCGGCGGCAACAGGAGTGGAGTTGATTTGGGATTCTCAAAGTGGATTGAGTTTGTTCAAGGCAACCCAGGTTTGCTGGGGATTTCTATTTTCATTCTCTTCGTATTGTTGAAAGGTGAGAAAGATGTAAGCTCGTTTGTGGAATCGAAGCAAGCGTTGCACGTAGGGATTAGGTAACGGCGGCGAGGCTTTTGGTTCTATGGTGGGCAACGATGGCTGGGTTTTGTCGGAGGATTGGAAATGGAAGCATGGAGCTTCGATGGAGATTGGGGGTAATTAGCATAAACGGTCACTAACCTTTTCAATTTGTACAAAACGGTCACAAAACTTCAATTTGTAACCTATCGGTAACTAACGTTTGGCCGTATTTCAAAACAGTGATTCCGTCCTTCTCCGTCGAAAACTCTGTTATATATGTACAGTCAGCATGCCACATCAACAAATATATTAATTAAAAATGGAGTTAGAAATTCCCAACCCACCCGACTCATTTTCTGAACCCAACCCAACCCACCCCACCTGACCACTATTCTATAGCTGCTGCCCTCTTTTGATCGAAAGAAACTTTCCAGCTCCCCTCTTTTAATTTATATTTTCTTTTCTAAACAGAAATTAATTTTTGGTATATCCATGTGGCAAGTCAATTTTTTACTTTTTGCCACGTCATTGAAAATTTATTAAACATTTTGCCACGTCAGAGTCAACTAACGGTTGACCGGATGGAAAGTTGACGGTTTGGCTATTAAATTGTTTTTGAAAAAGTTTGGCTAGTATTTTGTTTAAAATGAAAGGTTTGGCTATTAAATTGTATCCACCCTAAACTAAACGAAGGCCGAAGGGTATGATTTTTCTTAAACGACGGCGTCGGCAGGAAGAAGTCGGGTTTGGAAGAAGAATGCAAGTGAATTGTGAGTCACAATTGTACCAATTTATAAGTGAGTGGATTAGTTTGAGAGCCAAACCAACCTACTACACATTGGCAGTCCCTACTGTGCATGGTCAAAAATACAAGTTAATATGAAACAAATTTAGATAACATTAGCCTCATAATTACGATGAACTAGTATGTTACAAATGCAAAATCCCTTTTTTCTTGTGTTTCCTTGCCTCTTAAGTTATTAGGTTACAAATACAAAATCCCGTTTTTTCTTGTGTTGCCTTGCCTCTTAAGTTATTTTCTACAAATTGCCTCAAACCCCTCTCAAGAGGGTAGTGTATGCATACTAACAAATAACAATTGCCCCTATATCACATCCTACTACCCAAAAAAATAAATAGAAACAACAACAACAAAGAAAAGCTAAGAGAAAGGATTTACATAATAAGACAGTTCCTACTTGGGGGATGAATCATTTCTCAATTCCCTGCTGCAGATACTGTATCAAGTCGTAGCCGGCGGTGGTCCATTTGTTGTAGGCGTCTGTGCAAACATGGATCATGAAGTTTGCAGCTTCTCGCTCCGTCATCTCCGGGTGTAATCTCTTACGGAGATTCCCAATTGGGTCCCCGCGACTGAAGCAAGGCAACCCGCTCTCGAGCATCATCAATACCGTGTTGATTATCCCATTCGTGTATCTGCGAGCTGCTAGGTACCCTTTCACACACAAGCTGCAGAGTAGAGGCGCCGCAGAAGAAATGAACAATGAGAACACTGGAAAGCATTGTACGGCTAATGGGAAAGCAGTAACTGCAACTGTACAGCTATTACCTGACGAATTGGTTCCAGGTTTCGCTCTTCATAACACCTGACGGATCTAGTAACTGAGTCATCTCGTGGCTCAGTTTGAAATGGGCGCTCTCGAAGCGCATGTTCCCACCAGGGGAAGTTTCCAATATGAACCCAAAATCAATGTGCACTAGTCTCCCGTCACTGCAGTGACACAAGTAATCGGTTAACTTTGAAATACATGTGCCAGTTTATCTATGGGTCTTTCGGAAAGCTATTTAATTGACAATCTATCTATTTTAAAAGCTGTGTATTCTTCGGAAGCAAGCTATCTAATTTGACAATCTATCTACTTTGAAAGCTATGTATTCTTCACAATCAACCTATTTCCACCTATTTTCCTCTGACTTTATTCAATTCCATAGTGTTTGCATCGTAAAATATGAGCCACCATCAAAAGTACATTGCAAGCATTCAAAAACCACCACCTGGAAATGTTGAAGATAAAGTTGCGCCTACAACACTAATTGGATTCAGAACTTAGATTTCGGCTGGTTAATTTGTCTTCAAAATCGGATTTAGGGGAGAGAAAACAAGGAAAACAAAAACAAGGGATTACATACCTATCGAAAAGCAAGTTTCCATTGTGTCTATCCTTTGGTTGAAGTAGAAGGCTGGCAACTGCATAACCAGCGCTGCTGACAATGAAGTTTTCACGTGCGGTTTCAAAACTAGGAGACCCAACTGGGCCAAAGTCTTGCTGAAATATTTCATACAAACCACCATCAGTAGTTTCACCCATCTGACTTCGACTCCGTGAGTTAGGCACAACCTGAATGACCCAAAGAAAAAATTTAGTACCAAGGGAAAACAGCTATCTCAGAAAGTTGCACTTTACTACGAGGACATACAAGATATAATGCATGGAGGCACTTGATACCATCTTGTCTGGCATCTGAGGTAGTAAAGAGCTATTTGAAAGGAAACTGCTTGCAAATTCAAGTACTCACCTCGATTATACCTCGCTCTGGGCCAGTTGGCAAGACACCATATGGAAACAAATATAGATTAAGTCCAATTGCTCCATATATGTCTCTAAGAAGCGCTATCACTTGAAGGGCAAGAACATCTTGTCTACAATCATCTCCAACCTATATAGAGAATATCAATCAAACTTCCAGATCCAGAAGATATTGTACACGAGCCATTCTATTATTGTCGTTTTAATGTCCCACATATTCACAAAAGAGTTCGGCAGACATAAGAGGACTGTAGGCAGGTCATGAGACAGAAATGCAGGATGGGACACAAAATATGCACCAGACAGTCATCTGAGAATGTACTTTATGGACCAATCTAAGGCTTAATGTAGAAATAAATATTCGCATTTGAAACTAGAGTGAATTGGATGTTTCACTCAATAGCACCAATAGGGCAACACATGGTACAATTACGATCGATGGTACCTCTTTTAGCTGATAATGGTGATTCTAAGCGTACCTTGAAAATGCAAGCTTGAGGTTTAATATCGTTGGGGTCACCATCACGGTCAACAACATCAAACGTCACCATAATTGGAACTTTTGCAGCAGATTGCAATGGTATGCCACTATCAACCCGGATACCTCTGACAAACTTGCTAGGTGCAGTCGGTAAATAGAGATCATCTCCTTGCATCTGAATTTTCTCCAACTCCCTGACCAACCAATGTGGATTTATAACAGCCAATAAAAACACCAAAAAGGAAGAGACAGAATAAGCTGGCACTCGGTAAAAAACGAGGCATACTTTCGGATACCAGCCCGACGCTCATCCTTGGGAAGTGGAAGGAGGACGCCAGATATTGATGTGACTTCATCAAAGAAATCAAATTCCCTTTTAAAGATGTCACGGGCCGTCTCATTGAAACCGTCAATGATATGCTCGCGAACAACCGGCAAAATTTCTTGGAAGGACTTATTCTGAAATATCAGCATGCACATATATGATTATCCTCCATGCAACATCCCAGAGGAGATTAAAGAACACAGAGTGATCCTGATTAGCCAGTACTCGGGTATATTCTGACATGTCATAACAGATACATTAAAACCAGGTAGCTAAAATTGAAAAGATAAGAACCTTCATAACAGCAACAGGATCTTTTACTGCTCCTTCTGGTTCACACATCTCACCCTGCCACGAAAAAAACAATTCACTCCTTAGAACAAGAGATTATAATGTAAAGAATTACTATCAAAAGAAATATTTCAGAGAGAGAGAGAAAAAAGGGAGCAACTATACTAAAACTTTCAAAAGGTATATCATGCCACATTAACCTGTAATTGCCAAATCAGAATATGCGCAAATATATCACTTCGTTGAGCTGCTCTCAGCAAATATCCTTCAACGAGCTTCTGCAACATGAAATGTTGATTTAATCATAAGAAAAGTTTGTCACGCAAACATACACCTACAACTGCAGTTTGGTAGCTTAATACAATCAGCAAACCTACGGAAGTTGCCAGAACACTCAACTATTTTATTGACTATGCTCCACTTTCAAGGTTACTATTTAGCATACTTAAGTATTGAGCCCTTAACACAAGTCCATTGCTCAGATACTACAAATAACAGAACCCCAGGTCCACCAACTAGTCAAGCTTCAAGCCT